GAAGCGTTGTACGCTTCGTACACGCTTCGAAAGTATATAGTCTGACGGTCCCCTGGACCCTTCGAAATAGGACAAGTCCTCCGTAAAATCACATCTGGTCATTTCGTCTCGCCAACGCAATCTGCGACTTTCATATTCAACTTCCTCTCACTGACTTACCGTTCGAATGATATGTCGCATCGGTTTTCGGGGCTTCGCGCAAAACCATGTTATCAAAGGAGCTTCCATAAGGTCTCCTGTCGTGCCATACTTTCCTCGCGGAGTCCGCCTCCGTCTCCGTCCAGGACACCACCGGACCGACGCGTCCTCCGCAATCGTCCCTGACTTGGAAAAATGGCGTACCACCTCCATTTCGAGCACAGTCTCTGACACGATATACGCGCTGTCAACTGCACCGGGTCGCGCTGCGATAGCGGTAATCCGCATATCTGGTCCAGCATGTCTTCAAGTACATCGCAAGCTTTGCCCCACCCGACCCTTGCCCAAGCCTCGCACCGCGACCCTGCGAAGACTCTACAATCCCCAAGACTCGGATAGTCCACACGCTCGAATTCTCGACCGTGGCGCGCTCATCCTATACTTTCCCGCACCGAATACGGTGACAGGTGAAGATATACTCGAGCTACATGTCCATGGTGGACCGGCGATTGTTCGTTCGGTGCTGGAAGCGGTATCATTATGTGGACAGTGCGGTCAAGATGTAGGAAGCCTAATTCGACATGCCGAACCCGGCGAATTCACGAAACGGGCATTCTACAATGGAAGACTAGACCTTACACAAGCAGAAGCATTGGGTGAAACGCTTGCCGCGGAGACAGAGCAACAGCGTCGTCTGGCCGTTAGTGGTGCAGATGGAGGACTTGCGAAGCGATATGAAGAGTGGCGCACAATGCTGCTCTACGCTCGTGGGGAGCTTGAGGCCCTGATCGACTTCTCTGAAGACCAGCACTTTGATGAGTCGCCGGTCGAATTCATGGCTTCGGCCTTCGAACAGGTCACCGCCCTAAAGAGACAGATCGATATCCATCTCCAGAACGCGTCCAAGGGAGAACTGTTGCGAAACGGGATCAGCATTGCATTGCTGGGCGCTCCCAATGCCGGCAAAAGTTCCTTGCTCAATTGCGTTGTCGGTCGAGAGGCAGCTATTGTCAGTACCGAAGAAGGCACCACAAGAGATATTGTGGATGTCAGCGTCGATCTTGGCGGCTGGCTTTGCAGACTGGGCGATATGGCTGGATTGCGTGCCACTGGTCCTGCCGGTGAGGGCCAAGGTCCCGTCGGCATGGTGGAGCAGGAGGGCATTCGCCGTGCACGGGAGCGAGCTCGACAATCCGATGTTGTAGTGACTCTATTATCCATCGAAAAACATGCCGATGGGAAGCTCCATGTTCCTGTCAACGGCCAGGTTCTCGATGCGGTGAAAGAGTGCCATGCTGCAGGAAAAGCTATTCTCCTCGTCTTGAACAAGGTGGACTTGGTGGAACCGGATGATCAACGGGAAGACGTTGTGAACAACCTACGATCACAGATCAATCAAATCCTTCCAACTGTCCCCGCCAAACGAATCTGTGTCGTCTCTTGCAAAGATGCAGCAACTGATGTCGGAAACTCCGACCCGGGTGGAATTCAAACGTTCCTTCAGGGAATTACGGGCGTCCTGACTGATCTGACCACTGCATCAATCGGTGAAGATACTACGTCAATGACTCCTGCCGAAGCTCGGTCTTACTGGAATGCGTCGTTGTCCGTCACGCATCGTCAGGCCGTACACCTCCAGCAGTGTTTACGTCATCTCAATGATTTCCTCGGCCACTCTCACCCACCCAAGCCCTTGGCCCATGAGTCTCCTGCTTATCATGTTGATGGACAAGATGATTTGGTTGGTCCAAATACCTCTGTCCAAAACGACGTTGACATCGTCGCCGCTGCGGAAAGTCTTCGCTTTGCAGCCGAGTGCCTTGCTAAGATCACGGGCAAAGGCGATGGAGGTGATGTGGAGGATGTGCTGGGCGTGGTCTTTGAAAAGTAAGTTCTTTCTGTTGTTTTGTTTGCAGCTCGTATTCTCTTGGTCGAATCCAGAGCACAGAGATCGGAGGAAATACCACTTTCAAAATTTGCAACTTCGTGGTCGCCTCTTATTATCCTGGAGTTTCTGTTCCTAATATCTGTACTAATCTGGGACGTTCTTTCCTTGATTCTGTTCTGTTGGTCCACACTCAAAGGTCCTGCCCTGTGTATTCCATTTCCCACCCGAATTCCTCCCCCCCTTAAAAAAAAGAAAAACGCCCCGAAAAAGCCCTTGCCAGGGCCGATGCCATATGTTTATCTTGGTCCCATATATATCCTTGTATCCCAAAACACCTGGAAATGCTAATGCTGATGCTAATCTTTGGCGAACCCTGCGCTTTGGTTGTCGTTTTGCTCTCAGAGCAATATGGACATGATTATTCCCCGAAGAAAAACAGAGGTCCGAAAATGCCGATGAAGTGCTTTGATCGCTAGAAAAAAGGAATGATTGGCTGATGTTGAATTTTTGGTTGAAACAGGTTCTGTGTCGGGAAATGAACCGATAAATTTGCTCATCGAGAGCCCAAGGGGGATAAAACGAATGTGTCGAGACCGAGACCGAGACCGAGACCGGGGATCACACAAGAATCGTGAAAGGAGTGACGAGGAAACAATGGAACACGGTTCCGTTGGGCTTGCTATCGATGAGGCGGATTTAGTTGTATCCTCCACGGCCTTGGGCAGCTTGTTGTCGGCTGTGTCCACCCGCCCCTTGGACCACAGGGGTTCGGTTGTATCCTCCGCGACCTTGTCGGTTGTAGCCGCCACGTCCTTTCTGGGGCGCAGTACCGGCAGGGGTGTTGTATCCGCCTCGTCCCATGGCCATTTGGAGAATGATTGTTGGAAGAAGATGCACAAGAAAATTAATTGTGGGCTGAGGATGGGTTTCTGCAACGAGGGGGTGTCGCAGAAGACTGGGTGGATGTTGAAAACCCAAAAGAAAAATAAAGGAAAGGAAATTGGTAGACAAAGGAAATAAGGAAATAGATAAAAGAAAAGTTGAGGGTGTGGTGGATGATGTTGCTGTCGGATAGAAGTTGCGAAAATAGAAATAAGGAAAGTGTCTAATACCCTAAGTCTAGTTGTGTTGCTGTCGAGTGCGAAATAGCGTCGCTGGACCGGAACAAATGAAATCGCTTGAACAAAGGAGAGAATTGAAAAGGAGCTGTTGAATGAGTGTGTTGTAACCTGGTGGACTGAATGAAAGATTCGAAGCCTTTTGGATGAGGAAGCAACGGGTGATATATAATCTCTTGAGACGAAAACTGCGGCGCGGAGCAAATGAGTGGATCCTACCCATAAGGTCGTCGGGCCGGATGGGGAAGGGCGAATTCGATCGGTGACCTTGCAGATACGGGTTCCTGACGGATGAGGCAAATTTGGGGGCTGACGAATTCCTGGCCCAAAGACTTGGTTTGATGATGGACAGGCGACCAGGCAGTATCCCTCTTCCCCTCAGCCCTGCTCGTGTATGGTTCTTTGTCCCGCTTTGGTGCCGTAGGGCTGATGGCCACGAGGGAAAAATGGACTTTTGCTCGAAGCCTGGGTGGAAATGTTTTTTTCAGGCAGACCTTCTCGAGGTTGGCCTAGCGTCCTGACTGCATTGCCTCCCTGGTCCAATATCCCTGTGCATTTGTCAGGGGGTGGAGCCAAAGAAACAGCAGCCTTTCGAAAGGTGGCGTTGTGTTGCAATTGTCAGTGGGCAGTGAATGTCGTTCATGCATGTTCTTAGGTGTACTAAATCGGAGACTTTGAGGCGTGGCTGGTAGGGCTGCAGTAGCTCAATGTTTGAAGGATGCTGCTGAAGAATCGTAGTGGTGGAAGACGAGGTTAGTGCTGAGAACGGAACAACCTTTGGGTCCAAATAGAGTTTATTAGTACTATTCTAGCGTCATTTAAAGTGATTTAGCTTTAACTAGTAACACCGTTCGACCAATGGATGGCCGTGTATGACAAACCTATTCCGGAGGCTAACCTACCCTAGAACAAATTTCATCAGGGCGCAGTCTTCCAAGCAAAATTCCGCAGTTGAGAAGCCCTTTTGGTCGAGGAATGTGTCCATTTGCACCACCAATCATGCCACACATTCATTCCCTTTTCTGTACTCCCACACAAGTTCTCCCTGTCTCGCAACACGAACCTCGGACGTATGAATCAGTACCTATCCGTTTCGGAATCGGTCACACACAAGGCGAGGATACGATGCGACCATACAAAACCCCCTTTTCAAGTCTCACCGAGTTATCAACGTGAACGACCAGAGTGGATTCCACCTATGCCAGGACCCGTCTTGTCAACGGGGTTCGTCTTCTAAGAAAAGCTCATCCTGACCCGCATTAAGTGGATTGATGACTCGACATCCCCAGTTGTGCCACCGCAAAACCGCTCACAAGACACGCATGACGCCTAGGAGCATTATCGATGGGACATGTTACCTCGGTACTACTCTATGCTGACATGCTTGTGTAGTTCCTCTATACACATGTGATGGCAATTGATCATTCACGGTCGAGCCTGGAATGCCCGTGGCTCACCGATATCAAACGGCTGAATTGGCCTCAGGCACTCAGCCCCACGGAACTGGATTAACCTTTTCTCCGCGTCCCGTGCATTGCTGCTCGGTGGTTGGTCTCTTTGTTTTCAGCACGCCCACTTCAAAACAGAAGGGTTCCACTCTTTACAATGCGAGGCAGACTTGATAATTATGACTCCGCACATCGATGGGCCTAATACTCCGCAACCCGCTACGGACTTTGTCTCGTGGGTTATGACGCCTCACAACGACCGCCAATGTTGATTACTGTACTGGAAATTTTCCGAACACGTGGGACTGAAAATAGAAACACCTCTTTCTTGTCCGCTAAACCTATTTTGGCATAGCAGATCGCCGTCCTGTTCCAATTTGAGCTCTGCTTACTGATGAGACGAGTCCTTTTGCCTTTTTTCCTTCCTCCAGTCCGTGCTTCCTTGCAGCACTGCTTTACCAGATCTCCTGCACGAGTCCTCGTGGACATGGTATACGAGACAAGGTTCAAAGCATGACTCTTATCCTTAGTTTCTCTCTCGGTTCGTCCGTGGTGCTTTCTGTCTCACGAAGAGCAAATGCTGCTTTACTCTCTAGATCCAAGATTTGAATAATTACATCGACACTGTTCACGCATTCTGACCTGTCCGTAGGTAATTGATCGGAGAAGCCGATGTTATTTGTGTTCAAGAAAGGAAGCCACTTCTTATCCGACGGACCTCACAAGGCTTTTGGCATCGAATTGCCAAGAAATTCTGAACCAGTCGGTCATCATATCTGGAATTGTTTAGGAAACACTTGCCCTATGTTGCACTAACCGTTGATGAATGCTGGTAAGATACCATCAATATCAAATTCGAGATAATCGACCGAACCCCGTTTCGGAATGCTTGGAAGTTACGGAGTTGACGGGGGGGAAAGTTTTTTCTTTTTTTTCTTTTCCCCGGAGGACCCCTATGCGCCCTGCCATTGATATAGCAAAAAGGACTGCCGACATCTATGACTCAGTGACCGAATACCCTCTTTCACGAATGGGTGCAACGCGGCAGAACCAGTAATTTTTGGACGTGTGACATTTGAAATCTAATTTCAAGTTTCATTTCGCTCAGCTCTGACTCTGCAACGCGTGAAAGCGCCCGATGTGAACCTTGATCGACAATGGGGATCATCCCAGTTGCCTGAAACGTTAGATAACGTTCAGGGTGCGCTTATCTATCCCCAGGTTATCTTTGGAGCGTTTGGTCAATCTGAATGTCACAGAAGGTCTAGAATCTCAACGCTTCCCTTCACGCGCCCAGATTGCTGAATGCAGAACCTTCACCATAGATACTATAAGGACATGCGTATGCTAATTGCATCACGTTGTCGCAAAGGTCACCAACTTCCCGTGTACGCACAGTTCATTTCACGATTGCATGAGCCTAAGTGCTTGTTTGGGGCTGACTCCGGGCAGATACACCCACAGATACACCGATACAAATGACGTACGTTGTCCCGCCGGGGGAGGGGCCTTCCTACTCGACATCGATATGGTCCATGGATTGGATCCGATCAGCGAACCACCCTAACGGATCAAACTTCGCCGTCGGATCCAATCCATGGACCATGTGCCCCCGTGGGGGGAGGCGTTCCCCTCGACGTGGTTCATGGATTGGATCCGATGAAATCCCCCGTCGCCCATCGGATCCAGTCTATGGACCACCCTGACAAGCTCAATTGATCGCCCTCGACATGATCCACGCTTTG